TTTCCTTATCAGGACAGATATCAATTCGAGGAAACTTCGGATGGCGCGACGTGTTGCTATTGGCAATTTAGCGAATGCATTCGGGTGACAGAGGAGGTTCATTTATACTGGTTCGTTCTCGATGCAGAACCAAAAAAGACTATCTGCGGCTATCTTGATCACATCGATCGTGCTCCACATCATGATCCCGGATCACAAAGCATGTCTGTAATTTTCCAAATGAGCAATTAATTGTGGTTTAAATGGGTTATATTAATGAATCAGCATAATTATTAAAATTAAGCAAAAGAATAAACGAAAAAACATGATTTTCATTAATTAGCCAAAAAAAAAGATAGTTAATAATAATTAGAATAAAATAGGGTTCCGTTGATGAGTATAATAATTAATAAAGAAAGTTCATTAATAAAAAAAGAAAGCAAAAGAAATTTTTTTAAATTCTATAAACGGGAGATTACGGGGAAAAAACCATCAGAACAGATCCCAAGCAGATTGGCTTGCCTTCGACTTTAAATGAGCTGTACCCCAACCTTGTTTCATTTCAATTCCATTCAACAATTCCACATCCAAATCTTCGTCCTCTTCTAATAATATGAGGCCCTTTTTAGCAGGAGTTTTCGATGTTGTTCCGTTCGTCGATGAGACCAGTTTCGATTTTTGCGATTTGTTAAACATTGGAGAATTCGGTGGTGTAAGTTCTGCAAACGTAACTCGTTTCTCTTCCAACTTTGGAGAATGTTGTTGTTGCAACAGGTTCAGTTTACTATGCGAATTCACTCGTCGATCCAAGAACGGTGGGGCAGTGACAGATTCCATTCTGACTCGGTGGTAATCGTCGAAATCGTAGATTTTCTTTGATGTGCTCGGCAGAACCAAAGAATCAAATGAACGTCGTTCTTCATGACTCAGCAGATAGAGATCGCCATTGGCCGGAATGGGTTGAAAAGTATCTGGTGAATTAGGCGGTGTTATAAAGGAAATCGAGGAAGATGAGTTTGTTCGTTTATGTCCGTGTCCTTTTTTCTCACGAGGACGACGAGGAAGAGTTTGCGGACTTGGAGTTCTCCTTTCATCGGCGGAAAGTGTAGGCGAGTGTTTTTGTAATGGTTCAAAAGGAGAAGTCATTGAATAATAATAAGGATATAAATGGGTAAACGAAAAACTAAAAGGGATGGAAAATTACGAAACTTTTTTTTTTTTTTTTGGATAACAAAGGGGCTGGATTTGGGGTCCAAAGATTAGGCGATTTCGAGACCCCGGAAAAAGCCGTAATCTCTATTTGGCAAGTTTTTGTTTCGTTTAGAATCAATTTAAATTTGTGAATAATTTGTGTTGACCGATGAGCAAAATCAAGTAAGTTTGGATGTGTCATTCAGTTCGAGGAAAATTTTCCCCCAAACTCCCAATAAGAACACAACACCTTAATAACACGCAACTTATGTATATCGAGATGAAACGGTTTATTGTATCAAAAAAGCAATCAAATGTTCACAAAGTTGAGGTGCATGCCTCAGCTTGTCACAAGTGTGGTTGTGGCAAAGAAGGCATTGTTTGTTTCTCACGTTTACCATCCTTCAGTTTTAAAGTGTGACTTGATAAAATAAATTAATTGCGCAAATTGTTCTACGATGGCGTTATGGGGTGCAGGCTCAAGCCGCAACCTGTCTTGTTTTATTTTATTTTAATTTTTTTTTCCAATATTTTTATTATGAAAAATAAAAATAAGCCATAAAAGTCTTGATTTTTTATCGTTACTTAATAATAAAATATATTGAATAAATAAAAAAATAACCAATTTGAGTGTAATTAAATTTCGATGGTATAAATAATCTTCAGCGCGAGTTCCTCACTCTTTCTTTAGAAACTTTGGCAGAAAGGATAATTTCTGTTTCGCGTACTGTGGCATAGCTCTATCAATCGGATAAACCCTTCAAAATAAGACATTAATATCTGAAGTACAGATTTACTATTCGATTACCTTTTGTCTTCGCCGTCGCTTTCAATTTCCATAACATGCCTTCGTGCATCAATACAGACCTTCACTCCATCATCAAACAACATTACAAATTTTCCTTCTGATCCTTTCAAACACCAACCAACACCACCTAAATATTTCCAATCAACCACATTAATCCCTTCCCGGAAACCTTCACCTTTCCCCACAATAACCATCCCTTGTCCTTCACCAATATCAGTCACTTTTGAAACAGCCGTCCGCACCGCCGTAACAGAACTTGCACCTACCGACCGCCCTGATACAGACTGTCTATCATCACCTCTACCAATTTGCCTCAAGCTCTCACGCTTATCCCTTTTCCCGTCGTCTTCTTTCTGTGACGTAACGCTTCCAGATTTACTCGAAACCTTTCCATACGCAGCATCCCCACTGCAATTCGACGACTTTAAAATCAGCGGGAAAATTCCCTCCTCACTATTTCTCTCAATCTCCGTACACTGCCTTAAACATTCCTGGACATGTTTGAAGATAGGTACCAAATGTGACGGCAACTGCAGCGACGATAATGCCGAGATATTATACGAATACAAAACTTCGGGTTCCGTTTTCGTTTTACGTGAATCGTGATCGCACATGGATTTATGTACTTCTATTGGAATTTTGAATTCCAGGATTGATCGTGTGGTTGAGTTGTGAACTTTGATGCCGTTGTAAAAATTCATATCGAAGTCGGATAACGGCGAGTTTTCCATTAGCATGCATTTCGCTTGCGGTGAATAGAAAGTAATCTACAAAAAAAATTACGAAATGTTCGTTTTCAAAAATCTATATGTGACCTGCGTACCTTTGGGGTCTTAGATCTTACTAAATCAATAAACCGAGCTGCATACCGATACTTCTTTTCAAAATTCTGTGGTAACGTGTGTCTCGTGTACGATTGCAGTGGATGCGACAGAAATTCAGTTCCAGAACGTGAGTTTAGTGGGTATAGTTGAATGTTTTCGCCGTCGCTACTGATTTGTATGTGGTAATCGTCTCCTTTAAAATTTAGCACCACGCTCCCGTTTGGTGCAATCTCAATCGTTCCATGCTTTGTTGTTTGCTTCATGGTTTTTAATCGATTTGTCGAGAGCTTCGGGACAGATTCATCATGTTGCACCGCTTGCTTCTCTGTTTGCGTGGACCTTAATATCTCGTTCTTGCTAGTTTGTTCGAAAGAATGCCTTCGCTGTCGATCCTGTTCAGCGTGAGAGCTCCTCGGGATATCTGAAGTTGAAGTGCTTCGTGCGTTATTGAAGGATGCCTCTGAGGATACTTTTTGGAGAACTCGGTCTTGAGTGTGTTTACTTGAGCTCTCCGCATGATTTTTCGAGTGCCTGCTCAATCTTTCAGACCCGACACTACCGATATTTGATGCTAAAGGCCGTAAATTTTTCATTCGTCCATCGAAAAAGGGATGCTCGAGAATTTTATTGATTGGTATTCGCTGTGAAGGATTCTTTTGAAGAAGCTGGTGAATTAAGTCTCTGGCGTGGAATGAAATAGAGTGAGGAAGGGTATATTCTCCTTTGGATACTCGATCGAGCGTCGTCTTCACTGCCTCGCTCTAAAAAATAAACATTTTAAAACGACAAAAATTTATAACACACTCAATAGAGTACCTCGAACGGCGGTGTTCCGGTTAATAGCGTTACAAGCATACAGCCAAGTGACCAAACGTCAGACGTAAGTCCGTACGGTTGTCGGGAGACAATCTCGCTAAATAAAAGTGAAATTAAACAAAAAGTCTGCTAAATACATTCAAAAACGTACGGAGAAATGTAATTGGGAGTCCCGCACATAGTTTTCTGTTCTCCTCCTGCACCGCTGACCTTGACGGCCAAACCAAAATCGCCGATTTTCTAAGTGATCGTTAATAACAAAAAAAGCCAAAGTCACACTTCCTACCACATCGAAATTCTCATTCAACAGTAAATTCGACAGCTTTAAATCTCGATGGATGATTCCGTTTGCATGCAAGAACATAACACCCTCCACTACGCTCTTCATTATCCCACGAACCTCCTCTTCACTTAACGGATTCCCGCTGCGATTGCGATGTTGTATATACTGATAAAGTTCGCCATTCGAACATAACTCCGTCACCAAATAAACACATTTTTCGTCCTCAAAATAGTTATGTAACGTAAGTATCGATCGGTGATGTAGTTGCCAGTGAATCTGAACTTCGTTTGATACGCGGGTTGCCATGTTTGATTGTTTCATGAGTTTCTTATCAATCTAAAGTTTATCGCAAAGATTAAAATAGAAGTATTTGTCACAGGAAAATATGGATACCATTTTTATTGCGACTACGTGATTGTAAGATGATTCTGCCAAACTTATCGCTCGATAGACGAATCCAAATCCGCCTCTTCCCAACATCTCACATACTTTATAATCCTGGTGAAGAGATCCGAATTATAAAATCAAATCATCATCTTTACAAGTAAAAATAATTAAAGCATACATTTATCGAGTCTCCAAATTTGCTTTTTTGTTTTGTTGACTTTAGGGAACGTTGTTGGTGTTGAAATTGTTCATTCGTTGAGTTTCTTGAATTTCTGGAAGTTGTACCGGTGGAATGTCGTAAATCGCGCTTATATTCGTGGGGAGTAACTGCCGTAAGCATTTTTTTATTGATGTTGAAAATATTTTCTGTGCTACTGATGGATGAGTCCAACAAGGGAGAATTTCGTAGATTAACGGAGTAAAGCAGAGTGCGTGAAAAGCAGGGAAAGTCGAAATCGAATAGCAGCTGTATGAAGGTAATTAAAACGTTAGAATTCGCCAGTTAAATTGCGGTTTTAGATTTCTGCATTCAAGTTTTATTCTCAAAAATTGTTGACAACTTTCCTTTTTGTATTTTAATTAAATTTTCCTTTCACATCAAGTTTCTAACGACTGTCTGGTTGTGGGGACTGAAAATTCCCCCAAAAACATAGTTCTATCCATAGAAAATAAACCATAATTCAAAAAAAAAATTGAACAAAAAAGTATAATGCGACCAAGACGGGACTCGAACCCGCAACCTTTGGATCCGAAGTCCAACACGCTATCATTATACTTTTTTGTTCAATTTTTTTTTTGAATTATGGTTTATTTTCTATGGATAGAACTACGTTTTTTTGGGGAATTTTCAGTCCTCACAACCAGACAGTCGTTAGAAACTTGATGTGAAAGGAAAATTTAATTAAAATACAAAAAGGAAAGTTGTCAACAATTTTTGAGAATAAAACTTGAATGCAGAAATCTGAAACCGCAATTTAACTGGCGAATTCTAACGTTTTAATTACCTTCATACAGCTGCTATTCGATTTCGACTTTCCCTGCTTTTCACGCACTCTGCTTTACTCCGTTAATCTACGAAATTCTCCCTTGTTGGACTCATCCATCAGTAGCACAGAAAATACTATCAACATCAATAAAAAATGCTTACGGCAGTTACTCCCCACGAATATAAGCGCGATTTACGACATTCCACCGGTACAACTTCCAGAAATTCAAGAAACTCAACGAATGAACAATTTCAACACCAACAACGTTCCCTAGAGTCAACAAAACAAAAAAGCAAATTTGGAGACTCGATAAATGTATGCTTTAATTATTTTTACTTGTAAAGATGATGATTTGATTTTATAATTCGGATCTCTTCACCAGGATTATAAAGTATGTGAGATGTTGGGAAGAGGCGGATTTGGATTCGTCTATCGAGCGATAAGTTTGGCAGAATCATCTTACAATCACGTAGTCGCAATAAAAATGGTATCCATATTTTCCTGTGACAAATACTTCTATTTTAATCTTTGCGATAAACTTTAGATTGATAAGAAACTCATGAAACAATCAAACATGGCAACCCGCGTATCAAACGAAGTTCAGATTCACTGGCAACTACATCACCGATCGATACTTACGTTACATAACTATTTTGAGGACGAAAAATGTGTTTATTTGGTGACGGAGTTATGTTCGAATGGCGAACTTTATCAGTATATACAACATCGCAATCGCAGCGGGAATCCGTTAAGTGAAGAGGAGGTTCGTGGGATAATGAAGAGCGTAGTGGAGGGTGTTATGTTCTTGCATGCAAACGGAATCATCCATCGAGATTTAAAGCTGTCGAATTTACTGTTGAATGAGAATTTCGATGTGGTAGGAAGTGTGACTTTGGCTTTTTTTGTTATTAACGATCACTTAGAAAATCGGCGATTTTGGTTTGGCCGTCAAGGTCAGCGGTGCAGGAGGAGAACAGAAAACTATGTGCGGGACTCCCAATTACATTTCTCCGTACGTTTTTGAATGTATTTAGCAGACTTTTTGTTTAATTTCACTTTTATTTAGCGAGATTGTCTCCCGACAACCGTACGGACTTACGTCTGACGTTTGGTCACTTGGCTGTATGCTTGTAACGCTATTAACCGGAACACCGCCGTTCGAGGTACTCTATTGAGTGTGTTATAAATTTTTGTCGTTTTAAAATGTTTATTTTTTAGAGCGAGGCAGTGAAGACGACGCTCGATCGAGTATCCAAAGGAGAATATACCCTTCCTCACTCTATTTCATTCCACGCCAGAGACTTAATTCACCAGCTTCTTCAAAAGAATCCTTCACAGCGAATACCAATCAATAAAATTCTCGAGCATCCCTTTTTCGATGGACGAATGAAAAATTTACGGCCTTTAGCATCAAATATCGGTAGTGTCGGGTCTGAAAGATTGAGCAGGCACTCGAAAAATCATGCGGAGAGCTCAAGTAAACACACTCAAGACCGAGTTCTCCAAAAAGTATCCTCAGAGGCATCCTTCAATAACGCACGAAGCACTTCAACTTCAGATATCCCGAGGAGCTCTCACGCTGAACAGGATCGACAGCGAAGGCATTCTTTCGAACAAACTAGCAAGAACGAGATATTAAGGTCCACGCAAACAGAGAAGCAAGCGGTGCAACATGATGAATCTGTCCCGAAGCTCTCGACAAATCGATTAAAAACCATGAAGCAAACAACAAAGCATGGAACGATTGAGATTGCACCAAACGGGAGCGTGGTGCTAAATTTTAAAGGAGACGATTACCACATACAAATCAGTAGCGACGGCGAAAACATTCAACTATACCCACTAAACTCACGTTCTGGAACTGAATTTCTGTCGCATCCACTGCAATCGTACACGAGACACACGTTACCACAGAATTTTGAAAAGAAGTATCGGTATGCAGCTCGGTTTATTGATTTAGTAAGATCTAAGACCCCAAAGGTACGCAGGTCACATATAGATTTTTGAAAACGAACATTTCGTAATTTTTTTTGTAGATTACTTTCTATTCACCGCAAGCGAAATGCATGCTAATGGAAAACTCGCCGTTATCCGACTTCGATATGAATTTTTACAACGGCATCAAAGTTCACAACTCAACCACACGATCAATCCTGGAATTCAAAATTCCAATAGAAGTACATAAATCCATGTGCGATCACGATTCACGTAAAACGAAAACGGAACCCGAAGTTTTGTATTCGTATAATATCTCGGCATTATCGTCGCTGCAGTTGCCGTCACATTTGGTACCTATCTTCAAACATGTCCAGGAATGTTTAAGGCAGTGTACGGAGATTGAGAGAAATAGTGAGGAGGGAATTTTCCCGCTGATTTTAAAGTCGTCGAATTGCAGTGGGGATGCTGCGTATGGAAAGGTTTCGAGTAAATCTGGAAGCGTTACGTCACAGAAAGAAGACGACGGGAAAAGGGATAAGCGTGAGAGCTTGAGGCAAATTGGTAGAGGTGATGATAGACAGTCTGTATCAGGGCGGTCGGTAGGTGCAAGTTCTGTTACGGCGGTGCGGACGGCTGTTTCAAAAGTGACTGATATTGGTGAAGGACAAGGGATGGTTATTGTGGGGAAAGGTGAAGGTTTCCGGGAAGGGATTAATGTGGTTGATTGGAAATATTTAGGTGGTGTTGGTTGGTGTTTGAAAGGATCAGAAGGAAAATTTGTAATGTTGTTTGATGATGGAGTGAAGGTCTGTATTGATGCACGAAGGCATGTTATGGAAATTGAAAGCGACGGCGAAGACAAAAGGTAATCGAATAGTAAATCTGTACTTCAGATATTAATGTCTTATTTTGAAGGGTTTATCCGATTGATAGAGCTATGCCACAGTACGCGAAACAGAAATTATCCTTTCTGCCAAAGTTTCTAAAGAAAGAGTGAGGAACTCGCGCTGAAGATTATTTATACCATCGAAATTTAATTACACTCAAATTGGTTATTTTTTTATTTATTCAATATATTTTATTATTAAGTAACGATAAAAAATCAAGACTTTTATGGCTTATTTTTATTTTTCATAATAAAAATATTGGAAAAAAAAATTAAAATAAAATAAAACAAGACAGGTTGCGGCTTGAGCCTGCACCCCATAACGCCATCGTAGAACAATTTGCGCAATTAATTTATTTTATCAAGTCACACTTTAAAACTGAAGGATGGTAAACGTGAGAAACAAACAATGCCTTCTTTGCCACAACCACACTTGTGACAAGCTGAGGCATGCACCTCAACTTTGTGAACATTTGATTGCTTTTTTGATACAATAAACCGTTTCATCTCGATATACATAAGTTGCGTGTTATTAAGGTGTTGTGTTCTTATTGGGAGTTTGGGGGAAAATTTTCCTCGAACTGAATGACACATCCAAACTTACTTGATTTTGCTCATCGGTCAACACAAATTATTCACAAATTTAAATTGATTCTAAACGAAACAAAAACTTGCCAAATAGAGATTACGGCTTTTTCCGGGGTCTCGAAATCGCCTAATCTTTGGACCCCAAATCCAGCCCCTTTGTTATCCAAAAAAAAAAAAAAAAGTTTCGTAATTTTCCATCCCTTTTAGTTTTTCGTTTACCCATTTATATCCTTATTATTATTCAATGACTTCTCCTTTTGAACCATTACAAAAACACTCGCCTACACTTTCCGCCGATGAAAGGAGAACTCCAAGTCCGCAAACTCTTCCTCGTCGTCCTCGTGAGAAAAAAGGACACGGACATAAACGAACAAACTCATCTTCCTCGATTTCCTTTATAACACCGCCTAATTCACCAGATACTTTTCAACCCATTCCGGCCAATGGCGATCTCTATCTGCTGAGTCATGAAGAACGACGTTCATTTGATTCTTTGGTTCTGCCGAGCACATCAAAGAAAATCTACGATTTCGACGATTACCACCGAGTCAGAATGGAATCTGTCACTGCCCCACCGTTCTTGGATCGACGAGTGAATTCGCATAGTAAACTGAACCTGTTGCAACAACAACATTCTCCAAAGTTGGAAGAGAAACGAGTTACGTTTGCAGAACTTACACCACCGAATTCTCCAATGTTTAACAAATCGCAAAAATCGAAACTGGTCTCATCGACGAACGGAACAACATCGAAAACTCCTGCTAAAAAGGGCCTCATATTATTAGAAGAGGACGAAGATTTGGATGTGGAATTGTTGAATGGAATTGAAATGAAACAAGGTTGGGGTACAGCTCATTTAAAGTCGAAGGCAAGCCAATCTGCTTGGGATCTGTTCTGATGGTTTTTTCCCCGTAATCTCCCGTTTATAGAATTTAAAAAAATTTCTTTTGCTTTCTTTTTTTATTAATGAACTTTCTTTATTAATTATTATACTCATCAACGGAACCCTATTTTATTCTAATTATTATTAACTATCTTTTTTTTTGGCTAATTAATGAAAATCATGTTTTTTCGTTTATTCTTTTGCTTAATTTTAATAATTATGCTGATTCATTAATATAACCCATTTAAACCACAATTAATTGCTCATTTGGAAAATTACAGACATGCTTTGTGATCCGGGATCATGATGTGGAGCACGATCGATGTGATCAAGATAGCCGCAGATAGTCTTTTTTGGTTCTGCATCGAGAACGAACCAGTATAAATGAACCTCCTCTGTCACCCGAATGCATTCGCTAAATTGCCAATAGCAACACGTCGCGCCATCCGAAGTTTCCTCGAATTGATATCTGTCCTGATAAGGAAATCAAAGCATTAAATAGTT